AACTACTCATGTAGCTGCAGAGAAAATGTTCAAGCACATAGTTAACTTGTAAATGACAGAACAAAGACATTAAGATGTCATTTTATTTTAAAAGAGAGTCTTGCTAAATTACCCAGCCTGACTTTGAACTTGCAGCACTCTTGCCTCAGCTCTGGAGTAGCTGAGATTATAGGCATGTGCCACCATACTCAAGTGTTTTGGGTTTTCCATTTACCTACTTTGTGGTTTTAGGGGCCAAACCCAGGGCCTCAACTATGCTAGGCGAGGATTCTACCACAGACCGCCCTCTCAGCCCTCTGTTTTCCCATTTTTAGCAGGTGTCCGTCCCTCCCTTCCCATCTTCAGACTTTTAGGCACCTCAGCTCATCTCTCTGTCCCAAGTACCCTTTTCCCTTAGCCTCTCTGCCAGTCTGTTGAATTGCCTGTTTATTTGCTCTGTAAATATCTACTGAATGCCAATACCTAGGTGGTGGTACTATGCAGCTGTGTCTAAGCGTTTTTACTAGCATTACCTCAACTAATCGGCACAGCAGCCTTATGAGATAGAGACTTTTATTATTATGGGCCTTTGTAGTGGGGAATCTGTGAGGCTGGAGAAGGGAAGAAACCTGCCTAAGGTTACAGGAAGGAGCTCTAAAGGAAGGAGCCAGGCAGTCTGGCTCCATAGCCCACGTTTTTACGGCCACACAACACTGTACTGAAACCTATGGGTTTTCTTTGCAAAATGTCTCTCATCTTTTCCTCTCCCTTTCCAGCCAGGCCTTTATCGCCTGCTTCCTGGATGCTGTAACAGCCAGCCAGGGGTCTGTCTGCCCATAATGCTCCCCCTCAACCCTGGTCCATTCCCCAGCACTATGTGGCCTGACATCTGCCTCAAACAACCTCTTCATGTTGTCTCTCCTCTGCCATCAAAGGACGTATAATCTCTCTGGGAAAAAGATATGCGTGTATGAGCCCTGAGATAACTCTAGAGTGGTAATAAATAAAATGAAAAGGGGGAAAAAAATCAACTCAAAGGTCACTTCCTGTTTAAAAAAAAAAAAAAAAAACTGGGCTGGGGATTTAGCTCAGCGGTACAAGCACCTGCCTGGCAAGTGCAAGGTTGTGAGTTTGATCTCCGGTACCAAAACAAAATAAAGCTCTCACACACACACCAAAAAAACCTGCACAATTTTCTCAGTATAAATAGGAGTGGGCTGGCAGAAAAGCTGAACTTTACTTGAGTACAAAAATTGAATTAGAAGGGGATAGATTGTCTAGTAGGAAATGGGGGGTGTGAAGAGCTGTGCCCCCAGGCTGCCCTCCCTGGACATCCTACCCTCTGTGACACTGCTGCAGTCCCTACTTCCCAGCTTCCAACCCTGAGCTGCTTCCCAGACTTGGTTCAAAGGTGACTTCCACCCTCTCTCCTTTCTTCCCCCCGCAGCACTAGAAATTGTACCCAGGGCCTTTAGACTGAATTATATCCCCAGCCCTTTTTAGTTTTTATTTTGAGGTGGAATCGCTCAATGAATTGTTAATTTGCTCAGACCGGGCTTGGACTTGCCTTCTGAGTACTAAGATTATAGGTGCACACCACAGTCAAGGCTTTATTTCCCCTTGCATCTCTTCTAAACTGTTTCTTCCTTTAATATTTACCTATGCAACCTGGGCGCCTGATCATGACTTCGATGTGACCTTCAGAGGAAACAGGTTTGTTCCTTTTAAGAAATAAATTAAGGGATTGGCACATCCCTGTAAAGTCATTTGCTCAGGAGGCTGAGACAGGAGAATCCCAAATGCAAGGCCAGCCTAAGCATTTTAGTGAGACTGTCTCAAAAAAAAAAAAAAAATCTAGGGATATTAGCTCAACAGTAGCAGAGTTTTTGCTTAGAATTTAGAATGTGGGAGACCTTGGGTTCACATCTCACCACAAACAGGATCAGCCAACCAAACAACTGCATAAAACATTCACAAAATGTGATAATATATTAAGTCATTAAGGGGTAAGGTCAATGAAAGATTCGAAGATTCCAAGTAGTGACCTCAATGCAATAGCTTTCAGAGGTTTCAGGGACAGTGTTTTATTATTTTCCATACAATATCTAATCTTCACACAATTCTTTCAGGTGGGCTGTATCCTTACTCCCTTTTGCAGATGAACTGAGATTACTGAGCTTGTGTATCCTGTCCCGAATTTGCACAGCTAGCCATGGAGGATTGCTGCAGAACCTGGCTCTTGTCTTCTGAGAAACACTGTTTAGGCAGGCCATTTGTTCTCTTTGTAGTTGTGGATGGAAACACCGCACAGGAGAGCTTTTCCTCTTTGCCTGCATCAGCTTTTATGGTGTTTAGATGGAGCACACCTTCAGGTGGAAACCTCTCTGGATTTCCATTCTAAATGAGACAGTAGCAGGAGACTGCTGAAGCCTGAGCTCTCATGGGGCGGACATTCTGTGATTACTGAGCATTGGCGGAAGAGGGGGAAGCTAATTGAGTGAGTTAGTAATTTGGTTGCCAAGGTAACACTTTCCTGATTGGAAGAAAGGGATCACAGGGTTCAACACAGACTTTGCTAGATAGGAAAGTGGTGCCTGATCTCTCCATGTTTCTGAGCTGGAAAAAGAAGGGGAAAAAAAAGAAGGAAAGAAGAGATGAAATTTGAATCCAAGTGTTGTAAAATTTATGCCAAATTTAGAATAAAATTTTGGGATGGCAGACCCTGGAGTCCTCCTTCTGTAGGATGTGGCATCCTTTTCTCTAAATCACTTTGTCAACTGATCCATTTTGGGGTTTTTTTTGTTTTATTTTTTGTCTTTTTTGAGACGGGGTCTCGATGTGCAGTTCAGGCTGGACTTGAGCTCACTTTGTAGCCCAGGCTGGTCTCAAACTCATGACGATCCTCCTGCCTCAGCCTCCCGAGTGCTGGGATTACAGGTGTGAGCCACCACGCCCAGCTGATCCATTTGTTTTAAATTTTATTTATTTGGTAGCTATAATCTTTTATCTCACCCAGAACATTTTCTAGACAGTTGTCTTTGCTTTACGGGGAAAAAAGTTATAGCATACCTGGCATTTCCTAGCTCAGTCACCTAAGGCAGATTTCCAGGGCCACCAATTTGGGCAAATGCAAAGGTGTCATTCACATTACAGTATATGTGCAGAGTTGTGTGGTGAACAGTGGTGGACAACTGTGATGTTGTTGAGGGTGGAAAGAGGGCTAAACCAATTTGGTGGCATAGTCTGTGATCCTAGCACTCTGGAGATTGAGGCAGGAGGATCACCAGGAAATGAAGGCCAGCCTGAACAGCATAGTGAGACCCTCTGTCTAAAAGTGGTAGGGCTTGAACTCAAGGCAATACTCCTATCTCAGCCTCCCCAGTGCTGGGATTATAGGCATGCACCACCACACCCAGATAGATTTCTGTTTCATAAAAAAACACTTTGCCCTGCACACTTCCCTGGGTGATTTTTCCATCTATAAAATGGTCCAATATGGCTGAGAGTATAGTTCAGTGTAGAATACTTGCTTAGCATGCCTGAAGCCTTTGGTTTGATCCCCAGCATACACATAAACACACACACACACACACACACACACACACACACGCACAGAGCCTAAAACATCTTGGAGTGAATAGTGAAACTTGCAAAAATGTTTAAAAAAGACTAATAGCTAGCTATAGGATTAGTGTGAATTTCAAGTGCCTTAAAAATAGTAGCTATTAGTTTTTTCTGGTTTTCCTTTTTCAAGAGGTGGATGGTACTATACAAGTCCTAAGGTTGAGTCTGGCCTTAGCTGTTCTTATTATCTATCCGAAGCCAGCACAGCTAATGCAGTGGCATTGAGTCACGGCCAGCTTGGGGAGGAAGAGACCTCGAGATCCCTCCATAGCTAACTAAGCACTTTGGCGGAGAATCCCAGGGGTACTCTTTTGCCAGGGAAAACAACTTGTGACCATTTTCCCCATCAGCTCAGCCCCTAGAGGTGGTAGCCAGTGATCTTGCTGGAGGCCTCTTCTTCAGCCAATATTAGAGCCTTCATAGTCATCCTTCCCTTGCTGGCAAGCCTGGACTGAGGTACTACTAGCTAGTTCTAGGCAAGTCATGGCTGGCATGGTGTGTTTGGGAGGTACTCCTCGGAGACTATCAGCACCCGAGATATTGAGATACTGGGTAAAAAGGAGTTAGATGATCAGGATTTGAAATCACAAAACACTCATTCCAGAAGGCAACTTTAGAATTATGGCTCACCGTTTCATGAAAAATCAAGGACCTAGTCGCTTAGCCACTCAGGGGCACTTGGTAACTAATACTATTCATTGCTAGTGCTCACCATGCCATCATGCATCCTCTATCTCATCACTCCTGTTGTCACCTCTGTGCCCAAGACTCTCTCTCTCTCTACACCTAATAAGTACACTTAAGCACTTGGGTACCCTGTCACCCAGCCCAGCTCCTTCCATCAGGGAACAGACTAAAGTAACAGTACCGGAGGAGCAGAGCTGGGCTGCTGGGTTCCTGCTGGGACAGAATAGAAGTAAATGTGGCCAAAGAAGAAGGGGGGAGGGCGGGGTCCGTTAATAAACTCCTAGTCACCTTTCCCACCGCCAGGCTTGCATCTCAAACAACCTTTTGACTAATTGTCCATTTAATGGCCACAGTAGAGGGGGAAAAAAGCAATAAGCCTCCTTGTTTGCAGCAGCTGACGGATCTGACGTCTTTTGCTAATAGAGGCAGCTTCAGACCCATTGCCATCTGACTAGTTATCCAAAAGGCTTGGAGGTTTTGGTGAATGGGATTGGTCCAAAACCTGACCTCACTTGCATTTAATTTCATGCCAGCACTGATACACATCCAGCCCGGCAGCCCTCATCTAACTACTGAGCTGCTCACACACAAAGGGGCTTTAATTACCATCTGCATGCAGGGCAGACTGACATGGATTGCAAGTTTTCACGTTCATGGAGATCAAAGACGTGTTCTGGTACATATTTCCCACTGGTGGCAAGGACAAAACAAACAAAAAACCCAACACATTTATTTGAAACAGGTATTTCAGTTAAGTTAAAATCCTATAATCAGGATAGCCACAGTTCTAGACACTCCGGTGCGAAGTGTAGATACTCAACAGCCTCCTCTGGACGCTGAACAAGCCATTGACTATAAAACTAAACAACAAAAACGGTCTTAGCACCCTCAGAGTGAGTGAACAGTGTTCCAAGCACTTCACCGCGTTCACAATAGCAAAGTCTGCAGCTTCTCTATTTGGAGGGTCACATTTTCTACTGGGTTTCTTTCACTTACAAAGGAGAGCTGGCATGGCTGGGGGAGGGGCAGAGGGAGGAAATCAACTCCATCTATCCAGGGAATTGCAAACGGCTGGAGAGAGTCCATAATAAGCTGCAGTGAGAGGATGTGTGTCCCTGGAATGACCATCCAGCGGCGCCTCCACCCCCACCCCGGCAATCTCCAGGGCCCACCTGAGCGAAAGGGACCTCCTGGGCAGAATCTCTGGACATTTTTTGTGAAAGCCTGGAGTTCGGCCAGGGGCAGTGCCCACCGGCAGGGAGGCACAAGCACAGGCAGGGAGGTCCTTGAGTGGGCCTCCCCACTCAAGGTGGCAGCAGCTCGAGAGTCCTCAAGAAGGCTTCAGCACTTAAAAACAATGCACTCTTCTCCAGGCACTGGAGACACGGTTAGGGTCCCTGCTGCAACCCACATTACATGCCCAGGAAAAGGTGACCTTGAGCCCAGGAAGATGAGGGTTCGCTCCAGGCCTAACCAACTAGCACCCTCTGGTCACCGCTTCTGACCCTCCCCATGTCGCACTGCTCTCCCTCCCCAACACTCTGAACACCCTAGTCTGTTGTAAACACCGGGCAGAGAAAAAGGTTCATCCTATTCAACGCTAGGAGAGTACGTTAGTGGTACTGCGTGTCTTATAGTAAAACATCGCCCAAAACTAGACGTGGCTTTTAAAACGGTCATAAATGTTCAAGTCTGGCAGATTGGGGGGCTCCCTGAAATTATCGTCTGCTCAAGCTCCCCTCTTCCAAAGTAGATCAGGAGCCAGCCTGAACTGGTAAAGCAAGTACCCGGACCATCCTCTGTAGTTCTGACGCTTGGCGTTCTTGAGTAGCTTGGACCGTGGCCACGCGGTCACCGGGCAAGTGAAGAAATGCTGTGAGTTCAGGTCAAGTCACGCCAAATATGGAGTCCCACTGACTGTGAACTTGGGATGCACTTTCTGTAAGGTCTACCTTAAATAACGGTAACCCAGTTCTGGTTTGGCCACCCTAGACCTCAGTCCCACGTGAAAACATTCGCGACTTTTTTGGTTCGCCGTTGTTAGATTATTATTTTTTCCGCTTTCAAAAACATGTGTTCTCCACCCGTCTGAGCAGGGTTCGGGCTCTCTAGTCAGAGGTTGGTGCGGTGGCCATCCTGGGCGTTAGCTGCCAGGGACAAGAACGCCGTCCCCAGTTCTGAGTTGCGCCCTCCTCCCAGACGGACCAGGGTTACTGCAGGCCGCGCGGGGACTTCGCGGCGAGGGGGGCTCATGCACCGGGGCCGACAGAGGCCCGAGGAAAGTGCCTTGGGGAAGCTTTGCACGTAACTGCAGCCGTCGCGAGTGCAGCCTCCGCACTGCCTCCTTGATGAGGTTTCCCGAGAGCACGAGTTGCTGCAGGAGCCGGTGCGGGTCGTCTTCACCGGCGCGAGTTTCAGGCTGAGATCCGCGTCGCTGCTGCGGTCGGCGGGACGCGGCAGCGCTGCGGAGCCATCCTCGCCGGCAAGGGCCGGAGAGCGGCTGAGGGACTTCTTGCGTGCCAGCTCCCGGAAGTCCATCGAGGCCGGGCGGAGGTGGCATTGGGGACAGCGTGCTGGGGCCTGCGGCGAGCTCCGCCACGCAGTAGGGTGCAGTTCGGCCGCGAACCCGGCCGCGGTCCCCGAGCGCACAGCGCACGGCCCCGGGGGGCGCCGGGCTCCCCGCCTCGGCAGACACCCGCGGCAGCCTCAGGGACGCCGCCGGGGGTCGCAGGGGCTGCAGCGGCGGCCCAGGGGGCGCGCCGGGGGAGGACGGGCTGTCGCGTGCCGCGTCCAACTGCAGCGTCTTGCCGATCTGGGCCACCAGCCGGTCCACCTCTCCCGAGCCGCCCAGCGTCACCGTCTGCTCCAGCAGGAGGAAGCTGCCCTCCTCCTCCTCCCCCTCCGCTTCCTCTTCCTCCTCCCTCCGGCACGGCATGGCCCCCCGCCCGGGCACCCGGGGTCCTGCGCGCGTCGGCGGTAGCTCGGCTGCCCGCGGGTTGGGCAGACCGCGGCGGAGGTGGGCGCGAGCCAAAGCCGGGCCAGGGCCGGGGCCGGGGCCGCAGGAGCTAGGTCAACGAGTACTCGCGCCGGCTGCAACCCGGGAGCCGGGATCCTGCCGGCTTGGGTTGATTTGTAAACAATGGGTGACGTTGCGCGGGCCCGTCCACCGCGCCGGGCCGGGGGTGCTGTGGTCTTGAGGGGCGGGGCGCCTACAAGGTTAGGGTCCGGATTGCAGCTGGCTGTTTCTGAGCGGCTTAAGTAGGCCTGCTCTCCCTGGGGGCGCCCGGAGGAGCGGATCCCGGCTCCCTCAGCGGCGCGTGATGGGCATTCTGGAAGATGCACACCCTGCTGGACTCCGTTGGTTCCTTCCACACACTGGCACCAGCACTTACACACACTCCCACACACCCCTCCTCTCCGCACGTCAGTTCGTCTGGTTTTAGCATTTACGCTTTTGAGGTCAGAGTCCCAGCGTCAGGCGAGGGTGGACAGGAGTGAGAGTCAGGGTAAGCGTCTGTACGTCCGTCAGGAAAACGAGGCTAACAGAGATGGAAAGGAAGTAGAGAATTTGTCTTGCTGTGAGGCTGGCTGAGCTGGAAATGGCAAAGGCCACAGATGACTGTGTCTTGACTGGAATCCGAAACCTGTGGTGGCTGCGGGAACAGGCTGGGAGCACTGCACAGGAGGTTGCTGGTTTTGGGAGGGACTGCTACCCGAAAAGTTTTTAAAGAATGCTTCAGCCCATTAGAGGAAGATCTCTGGGGGGTTTAGTAGGAGAGGAAAACTATATTATGACCGCTCTTAACCCTTCAAGATGCCACGGTTGATTCAATAGTTAACCAAGACTTCACTTTTATGATTTATTTTTTTGAGATAGGATATTGATACATATTCAGGATGGCCTTGAACTTGCTATGCAGCCCAGACTAACTTCAAACTCATGTGAATCCTCCTGCCTCAGCCTCCTGAATGCTGGGATTACAGGCATGTGCCACCATACTTTGTTTATTAATTTTTAGTCTTTTGTTTTTTGTGGTGCCAGGAACCAAAGCAGGACCTGTGCATGGATGGGCAAGTGCTTTACCACTTAGGGTCTCCCTAAGTTGCCTAGGATGATTTTGGATTTGTGATCCCCTTCACACTTTCCTTCACCACAATGACTGGGATTATTAGGTTGTGCCACGGGGCTGGGCTTCCAAGACTGAATTTTCGTTAAAAGGAAAAGGAACCGAAAATGATTCTTTAATGTCTAGGTATATTGGGGCCTTTCTTCATTCAAAATCCTAAGCCTCACAGGCATAGTTTCCAAACACTAAACGTGTATAGATTTTTGATGGACCAGTTTCAGCCCATCAGGGAGTTAACAGGGTATTGAACAACTGTAGTCATAGCTAGTCTGTAGGCTGAGGCAAGAGGATCATTTGAGCCTAGATATTCATGGCTAGCGTTGGCAACAGAAATGTCATTCGAAAAATAAGATAATAGGGGAGAGATATTATCAGAGTGATGGAGACACCATATTTACTAAAAATCATCAGATGTATATGTGAATGAATTTTATGATATATAAATTACACATAGATAAAGTTGTTTCAGGGCTAGAGATGCAGTTTAGTGGTAAATTGCTAGCCAAGCACATGTGAGATACTGGGTTGAAGTCACAGAATAATAATAATAAAAGTTGTTTTAGAAATTAAGTATTGGAGGGGCTGGGGATTTAGCTCAGCGGCATAAGCGCCTGCCTTGGAAGCAGGCAGTCATGAGTTCGATCCCTGGTACCGATAAAAAGGAAAAAGAAAAAAAAAATTAAGTATTGGGCTGGAGATTTAGCTCAGCGGCATAAGCACCTGCCTTGCAAGCAGGCAGTCGTGAGTTCAATTCCTGGTACCGATTAAAAAAAAAAAAAAAAACCAGAAAAAAAAATTACATATGAAGCTGGGTATGCTGTCCAGGCCTGTAATCCCTGGAAGAGATTACTTTGGGAAGCAGAGGCAGGAGGATTGCAATTTTGAGTCCAACCTGAGTAATTTAGCAAGACTCTGTCTCAAGAGTTAAAAAACAGAAAAACCACAAAGCACTTGCACACCAAAATACAGAAGCTCAGGATGCTGAGGCAGGAGAATTGTCCTATGTTGGAGGTCAGCCTGGGCTACATAATGAGTGCAAGCCTGGCTGAACTACATTAGCAAGACCTTGATCTTGCTAATGGGGATTTTGCACAGGTGATCTTTGTAGGTTGAGGACATTTCCTCTTGTTTCTGATTTATTTATTTATTTAGTACCAGGAATCCAATTTGGGATCTTGTACTTGCCAGGCAGGTGCTGTGCCACTGAGTTGTATCCCCTGGCCTATTTTTACTTTGTTGAGTGGTTTTTTGTTTGTTTGTTTTTGTCTTTTTGAGACAGGGTCTCACTATGTGCTTCAGGCTGGCCTTGAGCTCACTTTGTAGCCCAGGCTGGTCTTGAATTTGCAATGATCCTCCTGCCTCAGCCTTCTCAGTGCAGGGATTACAGGTGTGCACCACCACGCCCAGTTGAATGGTTTCGTTTTCCCCCACCCATGAGAAATTTATCTCATTTTACTTATTGATTTGTCCCTTTAATTTTTTTTCTGATACTGGGGACTCTGCCCAGGGGTACTCTAGTGCTGAGCTACATCTGTAGCCTTTTAAAATTTTTTTCAAATTGGATCTTGATAAATTGCACTGGATGGCCTTGAATTTGCAATCTTCATGCATTGCTGCACCAAGTTTAATTCATTTATTTTTTTTCCTTTTGACTTGTTACTCACTTGAGTGTATGCTCAAGGTAGATATTTATTAGCTATAGTATGCAGAATCTGATTATTTAAAATTTTAAGATGGGGTGGTGAGGTTAAAATTTTTAAGATGAAAATAATAGCAGTTTACACTTTGTATTTTTATACTTTGGCTCAAAATTTATAAAGTGCATACATTGCTGTATGTATGAAAAATGATAGGCTGCTTTGGAAAAAGTTTTTACCAAATTTCCCAGGCTGACCTCAAAGTTGTGATCCTCCTGCCTTGGTCTCTTGACTGATCATAGCAGCTTTGTTAACAAAAGCCCCAAACTGAAAAGAAGCCAAGTATGAGCAACAGGTGAATGGATAAAGAACCTCAGGTACATTCATGCCATTATGATAATATAATTTAGCAACAAAACATCCTGAATATTGCTATAGTTAGTTGTGGAGGAAGTCCCAAAAGATGCTAAGTGAAAGAAAGCAGAGAATATGATTCTCTTTATATAAAGTTCTAGAACAGACAAATAATTTACAATGGGGAAAAAATCAGACTGACTGCCTTTGGAGAAGGTTGAGTGAAGGTGAGCCTGGCTTTGGAGACAGGAGGGAGTGTTTGGGATGGTGGCGGGGGTCTGTATCCACATCCTGATGTGGGTTTCACAGCTGTGCACATGTTAAAACAGAAAAAAAAATGATGCATTTCAGGATTCACTTCATTTTACATGAAGAATAAAAACTATAAACTATTAAATTATACTGAATAACAGACATTGCAGATGAGTTTACAAATGGGGTATACCGATGCTGGCAGTTTACTCTGTTTGTTTGTTGTGGTACTGAGTATGAAACTCACAACCTTGCACTTGCCAGGCAGGTGCTTGGGCTGCTGAGCTAAATCCTAAGCATATAGTGTACTCTGAAATGAGCTAAAATGTGAGGTGGATTAATAATATGGACATAAGGTGGTGAGACGGGTATTTAGGTGAGGAATGCGAAGTGAAGTGTTGATGCCATAATATGACCCATCAGTCCTACTCCTAGGTGTTTCCCTGATAGACCCACAAGCACATTCACACAAAGCATGAACACAAATGCTGACGGCAGCATTACTTTAACACCTGGAAGCAGAAACAACCCAAATGTCTAGCAGGTCGTGAGTTTGATCCCCGGTACCGATAAAAATGAAAAAGACAAAAAAAAAAAAAAAAAAAAAAAAAAGGGACAGAGTGTTAATATGTGCTACAACATGGTTGAACATGGAAATCTTGTGCTGAGTGAAAGAAACCAGCCACAAACAGAAACCTGTGATTTCATTTATATCAAATGTGGAGAATAGACCAATCTATGGAGACAGGAAGATTAGTGGGATAGGAGAAGGGAATTAGGAGTGACTGTTAATGAGTTCAGGTTTACTTTTTAGGGTGATAAAAATGTTCTGGAATAAGTGGTGATGTTTGAACAACATAATATATTAAAAACCATTTCAGTATACATCTTAAAGTAGTGAGTTTTGTTATAGGAAATATATCTCAAATTTTTATTATTTTTTTTAAATTTATTTTTTTGGTACTAGGGCTTGAACTCATAATCTTGGGCTTGACAGGCAGGTGCTGTGCCACTGAGCTAAATCTCCAGCCCCTATATCTCAAATTTTAAAATGTATAAAGTCTTTATGGCAGAGTCTAGATGGTAATAGGTTGTTCACTGTTACATTTTTGGGATTTTCTTTTCACTCTGTAGTTCAGGATGGCCTTAAACTCACTATGTAGCCCAGACTAGCCTGGAACAATGATTCTCCTGTCTCAGCCTCCCAAGTGCTTGATTTTTTTTTGAGACAAAGTTTTGCTATGTAGTCCAAACTAGCCTCAAACTCACTGCAGTCCTCTTTCCTCAGCCTCCCAAGTGCTGAGATTATAGGCCTGTGCCACCACTACTCCTGGCTGCTTGTTTTTCTTGACTGCTAAAATTTTCACAATGAGTGGGCATTGTGTGTGGTACACACCTGAAATCCCAGCATTTGGGAGGCTGAGGCAGGAGGATCTCAGAGTTCAAGGCCACTCTGGGTTGTTTGTAAGATCAAAGCCAACCTGAACTACAGAAAATAAAATGATTTTCTTTCAATTGAATATTAGGATCATTAAGCCTCAGGAAGTGGGAATATTAATTTAGTGCCATCCTTTAGTGCTGTCTGGGACACAAAGGGCTCTGGCTGACCATTGGGAAGGCAGTGAGGGGAAGGGGGGATGTGGTCCCCTGATGCAAAGATGGCAGGAGCCCAGGGGGATGTGTAAGACCTCATACTCCAGCACGCTCCCTTAGTATCTGCTGCAGGTTGACGCTGTGCTTCCCCATGGTGGAGGACTTCGTACTGTGTGGTGCAGCTGTGGCTGCTGCACTCTGCAAAGCCAGCTGCAGCCCTGAGTGTGGGGCAGACTTGGTCGTTTCTTCACAAGTCCCTTTGGAGGGTTCTGGAACGAGCAGGGATTTGTGTTGAGAGAATTTAAGAGATTAGGGGATCCCAACAGAGATGCTTTAAACCCGTCCTAGAGTGGCTGAGAAAGGAGTGGAAAGCAGAAGATGGAATGTCTGGAAGCTACTCACTGGCCTGGCGGAAGGAGGTGCTAGAGCATTTGGAT